TTTTAATTATTTATAATCTGTTTCTTATTAAACTTATTAATTTAAATTATTTTAGTATTATTTTTAATTAATTTACTTAGATAATTTATTTAATATTACGTAATATAAAAAGTCGTAACGGTTATAACTTTATTATCTTTCACGTTTTTTTTTCATATAAATTTTAATATAATTAAGTATAATTTAATATAAAGTTTTTTAAAAAATAAACGATCTTTTTCTTTTTTAAATTAAAATTCTTTAGTTCGGTAAAAAGGAACGTAATTTATTTTCTATTTATAAAAATAAAAAGTTATTAAATAAATACGTTATATTTAATATGAAATTAATAAGTTAAATAAAACCTTATATCGAACTTTATAACTTTTTCTTTATTAAATTAATTTAAAATAAAAAATATTCTTTTTTAAATACTTTTTTTTTAATTAATAAAAAATAATAATACTAAGGTTTCTAGCTACTTTATAATAAAAAGGATAAATAGATTAATATTTATTTTTAACGCTAAGGGAATCTCTTTTATTCGTTTTAATAATAGCTTTAGTTTATATAAAAATAAACTAAATAAAATTTCTTTTATAATATTTATAATATTTATAATAAAAAAAATAAAAGCGCTTTACGTTATTATAAATAAAAATATATTTCGTTTTAATATTCGTTTTTATTTTTAAAATGTTTAAAAAACGTAACTTTAAATCTCGATAAGTATATACCCTATGTTTATATATAAATTTTTTTTAATATATTTAAATACTCTTTTTAAATTCGATAGCTATTTTAACGATATATAAAATTAAAATAATAAAGGCGGTTAATTAGTTAAATACCTTAAGCCGGTAATAATTCTAAATATAATAATTAATTAATTAAATAGCTTAATCGGTATCCTTAAATAAAAAAATAATATTAAAATCCTAAAAGAAATAGATAATATCGTCGTGTTACGACCCAACTCGCATTGCCAAACCAGGGCCCTGCCCCACAAGACCTACGGCGGCTACTATACTATATATATAATAATAAAAATTTAAACGGCCTCCCTTAGGATAAAAGAACTATAAATAAATTATATAACTACGATTATATAATAAAATAAAAAACGAACGTTTATAAATAAATAAAACAGGCGATTATAAAAATATAAAACGAACGACTATTTAATAAACGGTTAAATAATAATAAATAAAATATTATAAAAAATATATTTATAATTAGAATTTATATATAAGATAGCCTAAGCTAAGCTTGAGGATAGATTTCTATAGCTTTTTTAATAATTAATTCTTATATTAGGTTTAATAATCGCTTTTAACTATTTTTATTAAAAACTTATTTAATAAAACTATGATTAATTACTAAAGTTTTACTTATTTTATAATTTATAAATAATAGTTTTATTAAAACTATTTTTAAGACGATTATTATTTATAAATATCGTAGCCCTGACTTTTATTAATATAAACTTTATTACGATTAATTAACTATAATATTTTAATTACTCTTATTTAATAAATCGATTTTATGAAAACTTACTAAATAATATAAACGATATTTATCGAATCCTTTTTTAATAAAAATAAAAAGCCTTAAGTTTTAAACGCCGAGCTAGCCTAAGCCGAAAAAGACGTAAAGATACTTAACGTTAAATATAACTTTAATAAGGACACGGTCCTTAATAAAATAATATATATTTAAATACGCCGTATCGTTAATTAAGGTACTTAATATAATAAAAAACTAATAGACTTTTTTAATATTATTATTACTTAATTAAGAAAAGTTTAAATTAAAAACGACCGTAATATTACTAAAATATAAAAAATATTTAATATTACGTTTAAAAGATTTAAAAACGAATATTAAAAGGCCTTAAACCTCGCCGACTAAGTAAATAGGCTTTAAAATGCCGTTAATATCGTTATTACCTTTTTTAATAAAGGATAATAAAAATTTAAATTTAATATATTTATTACTTTTAATAAGATTTTTAAAACCTTAAAAAGATTTTTAATTTAAATTAAAAACTTTTAAAACTTTTATTAAAAAGATTTTAATAACCAAATTAAGAAAGTTATATATACCACTAGCTTTTTTAAAAAACGAGCTTTTAAATAATTCGAACTTTTTTAAAAAAAGTATTTTAAAAAAAAAACTTTTAATGAATATTTTATTGAAATATAAGATATTTATTATAATTTTAATAGGTTTAAAAAAGCTTTTAAATTACTTTTTTAAAATCTAAATAAGAAACGATAAGCCGAGCGTAATATATTATAACTCTAATAAATTAAATTAATAAAGGACTATTTAGCTAAGTTTAAACATTTTAATATTTAATTTAATTTTATTAACGATATTAAGATTTTTATATTTTATTGAGGACTAAAGGATAAGGTTAAGGACGAACTTATTAAAATCGACGAACTAGACGATTTCTTTTAATATATTAAATTCGTAATTAAAATTAATAACCGCTTTTATAAAAAACAAAAAGAAAAAAAAAATAATAATAAAAACCTAACTTAGGACGTAAATATTAATAATAATTTTAACATAATCTTAATTAAAAATACCGTTATAACAGGAATAATAACCCTTAATAAATTATTATTTATAAATAATATAGCGGACTTATAAACCTTAATATAGTAAAATAAAATTAATCTTATTAAAAAAAAGAATTTAAATATTATAACTACGATAAGTTAAAATATATAATTAGAAATTATAAATAGCCTAAACGAATTTAATAACGATTTATTCTTAAGAAACAGATTAATATTATTTCTAAAAAAATACTTTATAATTCATTCTCTTAGACTATATACTATAACGATAACTACTTTACCTACTAAAATAATAAAAAATAATTAAGATAATATTTTAAAAAACCCTTTAATAGGACCCTTATTATAATAAATAAATAAAAAATAGTTTAACACCTTAAGACTATTAAAAACTATAATAAAAAATATATTTAAATATTATTAATAATATACGAAGTAATTAAAATATAACCTATTAACTTTTTTAACCGAGCGTAAACCTTTATAATAATAAAAAATAGATTAAAAAAAAGGATAGTAATTAAAAATAAAGATAACTTATTTTAATTAAAAAACGAGATTTTAGCTTATAAAGTACGGATTTTAAATAAATTTATTTATATAATACGACGAATATTTAATAAAATAATTTAATATTACGAACACCGCCTTTTAACAATAAAAAATTATAACGAAAATTATATTTATATATTAACTAATTATTATAAAACTAGCCGATTATTAAAAAAAAAGCGACTAAATATAAAAGTAATACTCGCTTTATTTTAATAACGATTTTAAAAACGATTAAAAGTTAAAATAAAAAAAGATTTTTTTAATTAGAATATAAAATTAATAAAAAAATAGATATTATATATTTAATATACGGATTTTAAATATTAAAAGAACGTTATTATTAACGTATTAAAAAACTAAGTAAGGCTTATTATATAATAAACGCTTATATTTTTTAATATTTAATTATAAAAATAATCTTTATTATTTTAAAATAGCGAATATATAAATAATTTAAAATAATAATAAAGGATAATATACTCCGTTTAAAATAAAATTTCCTTATATTTAAAGAAAGTATTAAACCGGACGATTTAAGTAAAAGAATTATCGATGATATATTTATAAAATTTAATATTAAAGGACTAAATTACGACCCCTTTTTAAATAATATTAATATATTAAACTACGAATAGTTAATAGGCTAATAATTACTTTATAACTCGGACGAACCTTACGACGTCGCTTAATAACGTACCTAGTTAAAAATCGATTATAAAATATTATTTAATATTAACGATTTTATTATTAAAAAGGAAGCCGATTTAAATAAGTAATTAAAATAATAAGAATTTATAAGCTTTTAAAAAGAACTAAATTAGCTTACTAAGGACCTAAAAAACTACCTATATAACTAATATATTTTAAATATATAATTTAATATTAAAATATTTAAAAACTATAAATTATTTTTTAAAGGGAGAGAACCTATTAATAAAAAAATAAATAATATTTACGATATTATTAACGTATTATATTTACTTATTAAAAAATAGAAGCGTCCCGATTTAATAATTAATTACAAACGGCTTATAAAAAAAGGACGAATATTAACCTTTAAAATATTAAAAAACTAAATATATTAATTATAAAAAAACAATAAAAAGCGGCTAAAATAAATAAATTTTTATATTTTATAATACTCTTTAATAAAGAATATTTACGATTTAAATTTTAAATAAATAGATATAATATAAATATTATTATTAATAGCGGCGCTTAAGGAATTTTTATTTTATTAAAAATAGTAAATAAATATAAATTATTATAAGTATAAAAAACGAATTTATATATTTTATAAATACTAAAAAGAGAATAAGTTAATTATAACGACGGATATATTAACTAAAAGACTATATATTTTACGATATATATTAATAATTAATTAAAATAATTAAAATACGATATTATAAAAATTAAAAATACCGACGTTATTTTAAGAATCTCGTAGTTACGAAAATATAATTTATAAATAGATTAGAGAACTGGCTAATTTTATTAAATAGACTTAATTACTAAACGATTTAATAAAAAGGGTTTAAACGAGTTTTATATAATATTTAATAAATAAAAATAAATTAGATATATTGCTTTTATTAAAACGATAGAATTTATTAAAATATTTATACCCAATACGGACGATCGAGGATCGGACTTATTTTAAACTATATTTAAAGAATATTAAATTTATATAAAACTATTCGCTTTAAAGGAAAAAATAAAACTATTAGAATATAATAATTAAGATATAAAAATCGAATTAAAAAAAGAATATAACCTAAGTTTTATTTATTATACCTTATAAATTAATTTAAACGTAATAAATTTAATGAATATATCGATAATAGACTTAAAAAAGGTTATATTAAACTATTATCCTCTTTAGTAAGAGCACTAATCTTCTTCGTATTTAAAAAAAGGAAAAAAAAGCTTAGACTTATAATTAATTATAAGGGATTTAACGAAATTATTAAAAAGAATTATTATTTATTACCCCTTATCGTAAAACTTAAGAAAATATTATATAAAGCTTAATAATGTACTATAATAAACTTTAAAAAAATATTTAATTAAATTAAAATTAAAAAAAGAGATAAATAAAAAACGGTATTTTAAATACGTAAAGGACTTTATAAATATTTAATTATACTTTTTAAACTTATTAACGCACCCGCTATATTTTAAATAATAGTTAATTACGTATTTAAAAAGTACGTTAATATTTTCGTAATTATTTATTTTAATAATATCCTTATTTTCTTTTTTAATTTCGAGACGTATAAGAAATACGTTTATATAATATTTTAAAAACTTTAAAACGTAAAGTTTTTTATTAAACTTAATAAATACGAATTTTATATATAAAAAATAGATTTCCTTAGCTATACGATTATATTAAAATAAATTTATATATAGGTATTTAAAATAAAAGTAATTAAAAACTAGCCTATACTTACTAATATTAAAAATATATAATTATTTTTAAAATTCGTTAACTTTTACCGACGATTTTTTAAAAACTATATTAATATTATTAAACTTTTTAATAATTTAATAAGGAAAAATATAACCTTTATTTAAGATAAAAAATATAAAAAAGCTTTTAATAAAATTAAGGACTTAGTTATTTCGGAATTAATAATTATAATTTTTAACTTAAAAAAACTATTTAAAATCGAGACCGACGCTTCGGATTTCGTTATAAAAACTATTTTAAAATAATAAGACTAATAAAAAGTACTTTATCTTTATATATTCTATTCTAAAGCGTTTTATAAAATAGAATTAAATTAGTAAATTTATAATAAAAAATTAATAATTATAATTAAAGCTTTTAAAAAATAGAGATTATAACTTTTAAAAACTAAATATAAAGTTATTATTTATATAAATTATAAAAACTTTACGAATTTTATAATAAATAAGAATTTAAATAAATAATAAATTAAATAAAATAAGTTTTTATTTAAGTTTAATTTCCGAATTATTTATTAGAAAAGTTTAGAAAATAGTAAAATAGACGTTTTTAATAAACGACCCGATTACGAAGTTATAGTCCTTAAGGAAATATAAATAATCCTTAAATACGACGATAACGGTAATTTTATACTTATTATAAAACTTTTTATAATAATTAAAAAAGTTAACGTTAGCTTATTTAGAAAAATAATTTCTAAGCTTATTATAAAAATTTATAATATTTAAATACATAGTTATTAAGGTATTATAAAAATATAAAAACGGATTCGTTAATATTATAACAAAACCGTTATAAAAATAGAAGTTATTAAAGTTATTAAAAATTATAATATTTATAAAAAAAGTAAAAATAGCCTTTATAAGCCTTATAAAGAACTATAACTACTATTAGTATTTTTAAAGGTATAATATTTAATCTCTTAAGATTTTATTATCAAATTATTAAAATCTAAAGAACTATTAATAAACGTATAGTACGATAGTATTTTAATTATTATCGACCGACTTATTAAGTTCGCTTATTTTATATTATATAAAGAAGTAAGTAATATTATAAAATTAATATATTCTTTCTTTAAAATAGTTATTACTAACTACGGTTTACCTAAGGAAATAGTTTTTAATAAAAATAAGCTATTTACTATTAAATTTTAAAGATTTTTAATCTCGTAACTCGGTATAAATTATAAATTATCGACCTTTTTTTATTTATAAATCGATAAATAAATGAAAAAGATTAATTAAATTCTTGAGATATACTTCCGCTATTATATAAATTACGACTAAAATAATTAAATAATATTACTATTAATAGCCTAGTTCGTATATAATAATGCAATTAATAAAAGTATAAAAAAATCCCTTTTTTACTTTAACTATAGATTTTAATTAATTATATATAGAAAAGTACGCGAAGGACCATAGGTTATAAAAGCTATAATAAACGTAAATAAATTTAAAAAAATTTAAAAGGAAGCCTTTTTAGACCTTAAGTTTATACGATAATGTATAAAAAAATATACTAATAAATTAAAAATTAATAGACTAATTTTAAAAAAAAAAGATAATATATATCTCTTTTACCGTAATATTAAAATAAAACGATTAAACGATAAATTAAATTATAAAAAACTTAAACTTTTTAAAATTATTAAAAAAGTTTTATTAATTAATTTTAAATTAAAACTTTTAAATACGATACGATATTACCCGGTTTTTTATATTTTATTTTTAGAGCTAATATTTAAAAGCTTATATATTAAAGATCGTATTATCGTCGAACTTAATAAATTAAAATATAAAATCGAATAAGTTATTAACTACCGAATTAAAAAAAGACGTAAAAAGTACTTTATTAAATAAAAAGATTATAAATACGAAGATAATATATAAGAACCCGTTACGAACCTTTAGAACTTTTAATAGCTTTTTAAAAAGTTTTAAATTAAATTTAAACTTAAAACTTTTAACTATTACGGCGTTTTAATCGATAATATTAAAAATATTATTAATTTATATTTTTTAAGTTACTAAGGAAAAACTTTTAATATCTTTAAGAAATTCTTTTAATACGATACGATTTTTTTTAAATACTATTTATTTTTAAAAACGAAAGCGTTTTAATTTAAATAACGACTTATTTAATTTAATTTAAACTTTTTAATAAGCTTTAGCTTTTTTTTATAATTTTATAACTCTTTTTTAAAACCGCGACTTTTTTATTTATTTTTTATAATTAAAACGATCGGACTTTATTATTAAATAATTTATTATATTTATTAATCGGGACTTATAAGAGATAGTCTTTAAAAAACTCATAAATATAAATAATATTAATAGAAATATCGTATAAAATACTTAAGTAATAATATATTTTATAAATATTAAAATTAAAAAAAACTAAATAATAAATATTTTAAAAATAATAATTTAAATACGGTATTATTTTTATATTTTTATTAAAAAAACGAATAATACGTAATAAATAGCGATAAAATATAGCTATTTATAATTTCGATTTTTTAATTTAATTTAATATAACATTAATATATTTTAATAAAAATATTTAATAATTCCTTAATTTAAGAATAAATAATTTATTTATAAGTTTAAAAATTAGATTTTTAAAAAGAGGAGTTAATATTACGACTTAATACGTATTATTAAATTAGGGCCTTGCCCTATAGGACCTACGGCGGCTATTATATTATATATATAATAATAAAAACTTAAATAGCCTTTTTTAAAATAAAAGAATTATAAATAAATTATATAATTACGATCGTATAATAAAATAAAAAATAGACGTTTATAAATAAATAGGACGGGCGATTATAAAAATATAAAACGGACGACCGTTTAATAAACGGTTAAATAATAATAAATAAAATATTATAAAAAATATATTTATAATTAGGATTTATATATAGGATAGCCCGAGCTAAGCTTAAAAATAGACTTCTATAGCTTTTTTAATAATTAATTTTTATATTAGATTTAATAATCGTTTTTAACTATTTTTATTAAAAACTTATTTAATAAAACTATAATTAATTATTAAAGCTTTATTTATTTTATAATTTATAAATAATAGTTTTATTAAAACTATTCTTACGACGATTATTATTTACGAATATTATAGCCCCGACTTTTATTAATATAAACCTTACTACGACTAGCTGGCCGTAACACGTCGCTTTTTATTAATTAAAAATTTTTAATAATAAGATTACGGCTTTTTAATTAGCTTACTTTTTTAATAAGGTCGATACTTTTTAATTAACTTATGAAAACTAAAGAAATTAACGCTTTTTAACTTATCTTTTTAAAATATAAATAAATTACTTAATTTATTAAAAAAAAGTTATATTATTAATTATTATACGCTTTTTATATAATAAAAATAAAATAATATATTAATAATCCTTTTTAAAAACTTTTTATGAATTTCTTAATAAAATCTCTTAAATATATTATAAAAATTTTAAAAAAGACTTTTAAAAAATTTTAAAGATTCTTTTATATTTTCTTTTATAAAAAATAAAGGAAATTTTAAAGATTTATTTACGATTTTTTTTAAAGTAATTTTAAAAATTCTTTAAAGAAATCTTAGGCTTTTTTAAATGTTTTTTTTAAAAGGAATCTTTAGGAAATTTTAAGAATTTCGTAGCCCTTTTTTCTTTAAGTAATTATATATAAAAAATAAGAAATTTAGTTATAAACCGTAATAAGTCGCTTATTTAAAAATAAAAATAAATTAATATTAACTAAGCTTATATAAAAAGTAAATTAATCAAATTAAAATTAGATATTAAACTTATTTTAATAATTAATAAGGAGCTAATTTAATATTTTTAATAAAAAGAAAATAATAAAGAATTATATAAATAAACGACTAATATAACTTAATATTTAAAAAAAACAAATTAAATAAAAAATAATTTATAATAATAACAAACTTTTATAAATACGTTATAAAACATAATTAAATAATAAGCTTTTTTAAAAATTATATAATTTTTATTTAAAATTTATAAAATTATAATATAAATAAGTTATAATACGTATTTTTAAAAATCTTAAATAAAAATTTAAATTAAAAAAAAAAATGTTTATCTTAATATAGTTATTTTTATTATTTTTATAAAGAGGTATCGTTTTTTTAAATTAATTAAGAAGCCGAATAGCAATGTTAATATAAAAGCGATATTAATATATTGATTTGCGACGCCGGTATATTAATTCCTATTTAATAATATAAAAAATCTATTGCTTATTAAATAATTTAATTAATACGGCCGTTAATAAATAACTATTTAACTTTTTTTAATTTAAATATATTTTAATATTATAAATATTACGCTAAGTAAATACTTAATCTAAGAATTATTTTTATATAATAATAAGGATATTATATATTTAAAGGAATTAATACACGGGCATAAACAATTAATATACGGGCATAACTCTTACACAAGCATAATAGCTATACACTATCATTAGCTTAAAAAAGCTATTACCCTATTTTAATTTTACCGGTCCTACCTAAGATATTT